CCATTCTGGACACTGGGGACCACTCTGGACACTGGGGACCACCCTGGACACTGGGGACCACCCTGGACACTCGGGACCACCCTGGACACTGGTTCCTGCCAGCTCCTGGCCATGGCACCTCTGCTCGAGCAGCCAGGCTGGGACAGGGAATTGCTGAGCACAGTTTGGGGCTGGGCTGAGCTCTGCTCTGGGCTGGGCTCTGCTCTTCCCAGGAAGTTCTTGGGTTGTGTTTCCATCTCTGTGCAGCACAAACTGCGCCCAGAAATGAGATCCTGCCTTACATAAAGGTTACAGCTGACACATCTGGATCCCATCGGGCTCCTCTGGGACAGGAGTCCTGAGCTCTGGCCTGGAGAGAGGCAGAGAAAGAGCAGGAGTCATTTTTCATGCAAATCTCCATCTGCACAGGGGCTGGGTCTCTGCAAACCCCTCCATGGGCACAGCTTTGGCAAAGACCAGCAATGCTGCACAGACTGACCCTGCTCCCCTGCTCCTGCTCTGTCCCTGACCTGGAAGGGCTCCACCAGGATCCAGCCCAGGGGGAAAAGTGGATTTCCTGAGAAAATCAGCACTAGCTGACCCTCAGGAGTCTCCCACAGCTGGAGCTGCCCCACTGCCCTGAGCCAGAGCCCCTTTCCCTGCGTGTGCTGTGCCCTCAGGCTGTGCTGGCACTGGGGCACTGCCAAGAGCTGCATCCTGCCCAGTGACCCAGCAGGCAAACCCAGCCAGGCCTCACCAGCAGCCACAGAGCCACACAATCATTTAGGCTGGAAAACCTCTCAGACCATCGAGTCTGAGTGTTCCCCAGCACTGCAAATCCCACCACTAAACCACGTCCCCAAGTGCCACATCCACGTGGGTTTCAAAGCAGGGATGGGCACTCACCACAGCCTGGGCAGCTGTGCCAGGGCTGGAGAGCCCTTTTGGGGAGGAAATTTTCCCAAATCTCCCACCTAAACCTCCCACAGTGCAGCTCCCTCTTGCTGAGTGGCAGGAATCAGAGAGGAACCAATCCCCACCTGGTTCCAGATCCTGGCAGGGAGCTGCAGGAACATTTCCCATGGCACAAAGCTCCAAACCCCATCACCCTGAGAGGCAAGGGCTGCACAGGCACCAATTGTCACAGGGGAACAGTCTGGGCTCTACTTTGCAGCTCCTGTAGGTGTGGTGGGAAGGAGCAGCTGGAGGAACTGAGCCCAGATAAAGCCATGAGAGCACAAAAGGAAACTTTGCCTCTCATTCTGAAGGTGCTGAAAGAAGCTGGGAGCCCCAGGAGAGGAGAGCTGTGTGTCACCAGCCAGCTGTTAGCACCAGGATGGGCAGAGAGCAGCTTTTAGCACAGTGTGACTGGAAAACATTCCCAGTTCCATTAGGAGGAAGCCAGGACTGACCTGCTTTAACAAGAGGCCAACCATAAACTCTGGGGTCACTTGTTCACACAATGCTTGAAAGGCAAATTAGAGCAGCCAGATTGTTTTCCCCCACTAATCTCAGCTTCCTGCTTTAGTGCTCTGCAGCCAGCCAGGGAAACCTGTGGGACAATCCTGCCAAGGACTGGGCAGCATGGTGTGGAAAGCACAGCTCTCCCAGCCTCAGGCCCTTCCTGGGTCCTGTCTTGGCTTTTGAACTCTTCGCATCTGGTTTTTGAGGGTTTTTATCCACCCCACAGCAGAGCAGCTCCCCCAGAGAAATGTCAGAGACCCCTCACCTGTGCACAGGTGAGATGAGAAGCCTTTTGTCAGCACATCCTGACTCCCTTGGAAGTGGTGCTGGCAGGCTGGGATGAGGGTGGGATGTTCCACATTCCTGGGGAACAGAGCTGCTCCCTTCTGCCCAGAGACCAGCCCAGGTTTCAGCCCTGGGCAGGAGGTGAGATGGGACACAGGGACTGCAGGATTTGGGTGGCAAAGGCAAGCAAACCAAGAGGGGACAGGACCTAAACCCGTCCCACTAATGTGAGTACTGCCAGGAAAAGGGCAGGAAGGTGCAGCTGCACAGCCCCAACATCAAACCAAGCTCCAGCTGTCTCCCAAGTGACCCTCTCTGTGCCCTTGGGTAAGATATTGCACATTAATGCCTGCAAATCTGATTATTCCAAGGCTCTTACTGTCCCCATTCAACAAACAAGCTCATCCAAACTGGGATAAAGTATTTCTGCTCCTTTCCCAGGAAAGTTTCCAAGATAGCAAAAAAAGCCTGTGAATTACTGAAGAATTTGGTGTCTCTGTTATTTCTATTTGTTTAAGGAAAAGCCAGGAGCCCACGTGCTGCCCCAAAAGTTGTGTAAGGAGCAGCACACCCAACCTCCAGAAGCGCTGGGGACAAAGAGAGGCAGCAAAGGGGACAAGGGGTGCTGAGGGCTGGGGTTTATTGGCTATCCTTAGCAGCAAAACAGTGTTCTTAAATACAGGGATGAAATCAATATTCCTCTTTTAGTGCCAATCTGCCGGGGAGGGGCTGGGCTGCCTCCCCCAGTGCTCACTGCAGCTCTAGGTGATGACGGTGGGCCCCGAGCGGCCGGTCCTCTCGTGGAGCTGGGAAAGTTTCAGTGCAATGGAAATGAGGGGTGCCAGCATCACCTGCAGGGAGCAAAGAGAGGCCTCAGAACTGCAGAGCTGCACACACAACTGTGCAGCCTTCCCACACTGCATCCCTCAGCACCCAGGCCAGGCTGGGACAGCCCAAAGCTCAGCTCTCCCAACCAGAGGCTGCTTTGGGCATGGGGGATTTTCAGTCTTTCTGTCAATTATGGCACAGTGAGTTAGGCACAAAGAGCCCACAGAGTGTTTGCTGGGGAGTACAGAATCAGACACTATCCTGAGTTGGAAGGATCTCCAAGGATCATGGAGTCCAGCTGCTGGCCCTGCACAGACACCCCAACAATCCCACCCTGTCCCTGGGAGCGTTGTCCAAACATTCCTGGAGCTCTGGCAGCCCTGGGACTGTGCCCATTCCCTGGGGAGCCTGGGCAGTGCCCAGCCATCTTCTGGGTGAAAATCCCTTCCCTGATATCCAGGCTAAACCTAAATATGAGAGGAGGATTCTTTTCCTGCAGTGCCCACAAGAGCTCAGCAGCATTTGTAAATGATGTTGCAAAACATTTACTGAACTCAGTGCAGAACAGGGCATCTCACCTTAGGCACAGCTGCATCCTGTGACCCACTGATTTTTTTAAAGCAGCACAGGGGTAACACAGACAGGAAAACTGTGCTGTGGCAGAGGCAGCTGTGAGGGATTCTCAGGAATACTTGCTCCACACTGAGCTTTTTAAAATAATCCTATTGATACTGGCACGAAAGATACAAACCTCAGGCTCTCAAAATTCCTGTTACCTCCAAACAGAATTAAGCAAAACAGGGCTAAGAAAGGGCTGACTCAGGCAGGCAGCAGTGGCATGAGGGAAGTGCAGCACCCACCTGTGGGTCTTGGTTGATTTTCTGAGCATCCTTCTCGTAGCTGTCGATGTAGAGGCGCACGGTGGCCCCCGCGCTGCCGGTGCCGCTCAGCCGGAAGATGATGCGGGAGCCGTCGGAGAAGATGAGCCTCAGACCCTGCCCGGGACACGGAGGGAGGGAAGCTCTCAGCCCTGGGACCATGGGTGGCCAAGGGCTGTTCCATGATCCCCACGGTGCCTCAGGTTTGGCTTTTATATGTTTCAGGTTCTGAGCTGCTTCAGTGTGCGATTCTGAGATTTGTGTTAGGGGATGCTGAGCTCTGTGCACAGAGCAGGAGACAAAACAATTCCTGCTCCAGCTGGGCACCAAGGACAAATGACCCAAATCTCAGCCCAGAGCACAAACCCTGTGGGCTGGAGAGAGAAAAACAAGCAGGGTGGGACTGCCTGGGCTAAAGCTGGGATGGGACAATGAACTGCAAGGTGCAAATGGAGCAGAACTGATCCCAGGGACAGAGCCCGTGCCCACTTGTGCATTTTGGGACCATTTTGGTTCATCTTGGGTGCAGCCCTGGCTGGGCTCTTGGGGTTTATTGGCTATCCTTAGCAGCAAAACAGCGTTCTTAAATACGGGGATAAAATCAATATTCCTCTTTTAGTGACAGTTTGCCAGGGGAAGGGGCTGGGCTGCCCCAGTGCTCACTGCAGCATGGGCTGGCTCTGTGTGATGACGGTGGGCCCGGAGCAGCTGGTGTATCCATTTGTCCTTTTAACAAATCCCTGCTTTATTCTTTAGCTCTGCCTCGCCTCTGTTCTAGGTCAGCCTTCACAAGCATCACCCAGCATGGCTGTGCCACACCTGCACCATCCCTCCTCCTCAGGGAGCCACAGAAAGCTCCTGTGCTCCCCTCTCCCCACTCCCAGAGGGATTAATGCCCATCCTAACCCACACTGCAGAACCTGACACAAGAGCCAGGTGCCAGGCACAGCATTCCCAGGCACTGCTCTGGCAAAGGGTATGGAGGAAACAGTCCCAGTTCAGGCCAGGCTGTGCCCACCTGGTTCCTGGAGACGCTGCCATCCACGGGGTCGTTGTACTCGAAGTTGTCAGCTTTCTCCACCGTGTACACCTTGTCCCCACTCGACAGCTGCTTCCCCACGAAGGAGCGCTCGAACATCACCGCCTCCAAATCCTTCATCATTTTGTTGGCAGCATCTGCATCCACCTCCTCGTAGTCATACCTGCACCAGCACCACACGCAGGGATTAGGGAGGGAGGATGCAATGAGTTGGGATGGTGTGGGATGCCCTTCTCGAGCTCTGGGGGTGTTCTCTGCTCCCATCCAAGCACCAGAACACATTGCCCAGAGAAGCTGTCCCTGGCTCCCTGGCAGTGTCCAAGGCCAGGTTGGACTGGGCTTGGAGCAATGTGGGATAGTGGAAAGTGTCCCTGGCCATGGCACTGGATGAGCATTAAGGTGCTTCCCATCCCAGCCCAGTGTGGGATTCTATGGAAAGAGAGGAGGATCCATGTGCAGCACTACACCATAACCACACAGATCCTTGGGAGGCAGCACAGCATTTCACAGGCATTTGGTGCCAGGAGATGAAAGCACAAAGTGCTGTCTCACACTGAGTATCACAGACCGAGGGCCAGGGCCAAGATCCAACTGCCTGCCAAGAATTTCCTGCAGTTGTGCCCCCAGCACCCCACCAGCTCCCTCGTGGTTACTGTGAACACCCTCAGTGCATCCCCCCTGCAAACTGCAGCTGTGACTGCAGCAGGAAATCATCCAGTGCCAGCTTTGATGTCCCTGCCCGGGCAGAGAGGCAGCAGAGAGTGCCTGGAGCCCACTCCAGGATCCCAGAGTCTGTGTTCCCACTGGCAGTGGGATTTGTGCTGCTCTGTTTGCTGCCTGCCCTGCACTCAGCCTGCTCTGCACACATACCTCAGTGCTAAAAGGCTGCCTCTTTATCCTAGACTTTGGCATTTTCCCCCAGGTTTCCATGCCTCAGATGTGTGCTGGCTTTTTGGTGAGTTGGGGGGAAAAAAGAAAAAAAAAAAAGGAGAGACAAGTTCTTTCACTTGGCAATTTGAGATGGAATTTTCATGTGGATCTTCCAAGCTGAAAGATTTCTGCCTAATGCTTTCACAGTGTTCCCACCTCTGCTTGTGTGCAGGCTGGTTCTCATTCCTTCCCTTGCCATCTCCCATGTCTACTGCAGCTTTAATTTGAGTATCTGGGGGCTGGACAGGAACTCAACCAGGTAAATAACAGCCATGGGGCAGGTAAATAAATGAGGTTGGGCATGCATTCTGTGAGACACTGCTGTCACTGAAGATATCACAAATTAACTTGTGATGTGGGGTCTCAAGAATATTGATACCATGGCAAAAATGACTCTTGGAGGAAAAATCTCAATTAAAAGAAAAAAAAAGGTGCTTTGCATTTATGAAATGTCCAGACCTTGGTAGCAGGTTTACATCTGGAGTAACAATCCAAAGCTGGACACCACAAAGGGTTATGGTGAATGCCAAGTGTTTGGGGAGTGGAACGCCACAGGAACAGCCTGATGGTGACACAGCTGTGCCACCAGGGCTCTGCTCTGCCACAGGGCAGGGAATGGGAGGTGTCAGGAGCACGCTGCCCACCTGGTGAAGAAGTTCCTGCCATACTTCTGCCAGTGGTCCTTCATGATGTCCTCCACGCTCTGCTTGCGGGCGGCCAGGATGGAGAGCCAGGCCAGCACTGCCCACAGCCCATCCTTCTCTCGGATGTGGTCGGAGCCTGGGGGAGCCACAGCACAGACACAACTCCCAATTCCCACTCCTCACACCACAGCCCCACCTCGTCTCCTCTCCCCATCCCCCTGCACAGCTCACAAATGGGAATATTTCCAGAGCTCCAGCCCTGCTGGGTCATTTAAATGGGTCTGAATCTCATCTGCTCCAGCTCTGGCCCAAGTAAAACACTCAACATCTTTTAACACACACACACACTCATTGTTCACACATCCTTAACTCTGGTCCAAGGAAGTAACAGGGAATGCACGGTAAAAAAAAGGCATCAAATAAAAAACAAAAGGCAAATGCAAAGGAGCAGCTTGGGAGGGAGAGCATCAACAAGAACATCAACTCCTCAGCAGCTGTTGTGTCCTGCCTGCCAAGGAGCACCCTGGGGTCATCTCCTGGCCCAGCACCAAGGGAACATCAGCCCTCCTGAGGAACCAAACCCCAACAACCCCAGAATCAGCCCAGAACAGGGTGAGGAGCAGCAGCAGGGCAAGGACAGGCTCCATCCACCTGCAGAGAGCAGGAGAGCCTCCAGCCTGCTCTCACTGGGGGCTGCAAAAGCCCCTCTCTTGGCTAAAGGAGGATTCACAGAGTGGATCAGGTTGGAAGGGACCTGTGGGGCACCTGGTCCAACCTCCCTGCTCCAGCAGGGCCATCCCTGAGCCCAGGTTGCAGCCAGATTTTTGATGTCTCCAGTGAGGGAGGCTCCACACCTCTGTGGGTGATCTGTCCCACACAGTGAGGAAGCTCCTCCTCGTGTTCAGGTGTAATTTGCTGCCTCAGTTTGTCTCTGTGGATTCCCCCAAAGCTGGCACTGCAAGCAGAGCAGGAAGCAGCCAGAGGCAGCCCAGCCTTGCCCTGGGAGCGCAGTGGGATCACACAGCACTGATCCCTTGGGAAACCTGAGAGGGGCTGGACCTTACACAGCCCCCAAATGAAATGGGATCAGATGGCCCAGAGCAAACCCAAACCAGCTCCACCCTGTGCCCCACAGATGCAAAGTTTTCTCTTTCCTGCTCTGGAAAACCTCCAAACAGGTATTAAAGAAATGCCAGGAGCACTGCAGAGCTGCCATGGCACCCTCTGAAGGAGTGCCAGAGTGGGAATGCTCTGGGAAGGGGCTGGGGCAGGGCAGGGGTTACGTGGTGCACAAATCCCACTGTTGTGGCCATAAATTATCCCCACGGTCCCTCAGGGTGGAGAGAGCTGGGCAGAGGTGATGCAGAGGAATGCTAAATAAACACCAGTCCCATGTGATGTATCAGCTTATAGCTGGAATAAAATACCCAGGGAAGCAAGCAGGAATTCTGTCATGTCGCATTACTCTAATTGCTGCTGCACTCCAGTCCCACTGCCCCACAGTTTGTTTCAATTTTTACTGGGTCTTTGGGCTGCTCTTTCACCTCTCTCCCTTTCAGCACTCCCATTCAATCCAGCTCCAAACAACTCCTCATTAACTTCCTATCAACCAACCCTCCTCACCCCTTTCCCCTCCTTTCTCCTTCCTGACTGCATTTGCCACATGGGCAAACCCCTTTGCATTTTAGGGGAGTCCAACTCTCCTGGGCCCTTTCCCAATCTGTCCCCCCAAACTCCTTCAGCTCCCACCACCTGGATGTGCTGCTGCCTGGCCAAAATCCCAAACCTCTCTCAGACTGGAATCCCTTTGATTTGGGAGGCAGTCCCTTAGGGATGGACAGAAACTGAGCTTGTTGCTCTTACAAAGGTGGAAACAGTTTTGGGGAGCTGCTCATTTGAGATCATCTCCTATCAGCAGCTCCAGGAGTTTGGTTTTATTTACCTCCTGAAGCACCAGTGCCCTCTCATTAGCCAAGGTCCAGGATATAAACTCAGCACATGCTGAAATCACTCAGGGCAAAGCTCCAGAATCTTTCTTTACTCATTAGTTACTTCAAGATTTCCTTACAGAGATACCAGGTTCTCTGAAACTCACCTTTTCTTCCAACCCACAGCCAAATCCCAGCCCCACATATCAGAGTAAGATCTGACTGTAAAAATATTGTCCCTGGAGACTGCTCAGCCCCCCAGAGCTGTGATTCCATTCCCTCAGCCCCAGGAAAGCTGGGCTAATCCTCTCCTGTCAAGCTGTGCATCCCAGCCCACAAAACACTGCACTCCAGGAATTTGGGGGTTTAAGGCACCCACACACAAGCTAGAAGGTTTTTCTGGGGTGATGGTATGGAAACACACAAGGTCTGAGCTGAGAAATTCCCTCAGGACCTTGTGCCCTGCATATCCCACCAGAGAACAGCAGAAACAACATCTCAGGGAGAGTTCAGAGCAGATAAAACACACTCAGCCTTTGTGCAGATTCAGGGAAGGTCCCATTTCCACAGGCAGGACACAAAAGCACAGGGGAGATGCCAGGGAGGGCTCAGGGCATGCAGAGACCTCCTGGGAATATCCAGAGCAGCACCCTGCTCTGACCTGGAGCAAATCCTGCCCCCATCCACCCCCCTGCACACCCCCAGGAAACTCCCTGTGATGTTCACTTGGTTTCTCAGTGACTCAATAACTCACTTCGACTGTTCAAAGGCGAGTGTTAATTTAAACTTTATAAATCATACCTTGTTTTCAGAACAGGAAAATGAGGGCCCTATTAAGCTCAGAGATTTAATAGTGACCTGAAACCTTCCCTAATAAAACTCCGTGCTCCAAACCGTATTTCTTTCCAGAAATGAAAACATTGAGAAGGTTTTCCTGGCCACCAAGAGTTGAAAAATACATTTAGCATTGCATTGAATCCCCACAGACTCAGTGACCGGGCTGCTAAAGAGGCCCCCAAACCTCCACCTCCATGTGCCTTCCTGGAGGAGAAGGAGCTCCAACCTCACAAATCCTTTAGCATTGTGTTCATCTCCACACCAATTCCTCCAAGCCTTTTTTATATTTTAATATTTCACAGGTATGAACAACTGCAGATGAAAGATAAATCCCAAGCTCTAAAGAATAAACAACTAAGAGGAGGAACATTGCCATCATGGGTGATACTGGGAATGCTGACTTACCAGTCCCAAAGCTTTCCTCTCCACACAGAGACAGTTTGTTGGCATCCATCAAGTTTCCAAAGAACTTCCAGCCCGTTGGAGTCTCATACAAAGCAATCTTTGTGGCCTGGGCCACCCTGCCAAGGTAAGAAGGCCAGGTTACATCCCTGGAGTCTCAGGGGAAATGGAATCAGCAGCTCTGCTGGGGTGCCACTGAGGGCAGGGGATGCCACAGCTTTGGAACAATCCCTGTATTTAGAACAATCCCAGTGTGATATCTGGGAGATGGGTGGGTTGTGCATTTACAGAACAGACACAAACACACAGCTCTTCACAGCGATTTTAGGTTGCAGATCTTAAAGCATTTCACCAAGAAAGCATCACTATCAAATTTAAGGAACAGAAGGGCTGGCAGAGTCATTTATTTGGGCTCAGCCCAGAGCTCAGCCCAGCTTTGCCACGTCCCCAGGCAGGGCTTAACCCATCAAACCTCACTGCTGCCCTGGCACTGCTGCACTCCTGACTAGAGCAAAAACACAGGACAGGTCAGGGTGGAACCCCAGGAAAGGGGCACAGCATGCCCTGGCAGGGCTCCCTGCCAACAGGGAGGGGTTTTACCTGTCCAGGGCCCCACTGGTGGGCACAGCATGCCCTGGCAGAGCTCCCTGCCCACAGAGGGTGGCTGTTACCTGTCCAGGGCCCCGCTGGTGGGCATGCTGCGGGCCAGGCCGCGCACCCCGGTCTGCTGGAAGTAGGGGATGCTGAAGATGTTGGCGGCGATGACGGCCACCGAGTCGGAGGGGTTGACAAAGAAGCCGTGCTTGCCCAAAATCATGTTCCTGTCCTGGGGGAGACAGCACAGGCACAGCTCAGCCCCCTGCCCTGCCCATAAACCCAGCTCCCTCTGCCCAGCCCATCAACCCAGCAGTCCCCAGAGATTTTCTGAAATAACCACCGAGCTTTGAAGAAGTTACACAGTGTTGGAGGTTTTTTCAGGGATGGCCTAGAAGGCAGCTGTGAGGAGCAGGTTCTCACAGCCTGTTTCTGTGAACAGCAGAGGTTCTCAGGTTATTTTTAATTACAGGTATAGGTGGCAAACATGAAGGCCTTGAGAGCCTTGCACATCAGAGTTCTCAGGCAGCTTTCTCATAACAAGTGGATGTTCTATCTTTGGCTGTTTTAGGAAAGCAAGAATAATTTTGAGAACCCAAATCTTGGTATTGGAAACATAAGGAGGGGTTGGTGTGTTATCTCTGACCTATTGTGAGCTCAGATTTTGCAATATGCATGAAGTGAATTAACACTGTTATAAAAAGTGCCTGATTGATTAATAAATTGGAGTCGATGGCTGACCAACGCAAGGTGGGTCGTCTCCCTTCCAACTTCAATAACACAGCAGCACCTCCACGGTGTTTCGCCTTCCTGCTGATTTTTCACAGGTTTAAAGTCATTTAAATACAGTTTGGGATTATTGATACAGTATGCAGCTATTTCTGTGGTGGTTCACTTCAGTCATGATCAGAAAGAGGCAGAGGAAAGGTGCTCCTCAGCCCCCAGAGGTGGTTAGAGGGAAGGAAGGGGAACTCTGAGCACTCCTTTACCCCATCTCCATCAAAGGCAGCTCCAAAGTCGTACTCTCCTGTCTTCATGGTCTGCACCAGGTCAGCAGCGTAGGTCAGGTTGGGGTCAGGGTGGTGGCCCCCAAAGTCCTCCAGGGGGGTGCAGTTCACAGCTGAATTTGCTGGGGCTCCCAGCTCCTCACACAGGATCTTCTTCACGTAAGGGCCCACAACTGTCTCAGCAAAACAGAGAGGGAAGAGCTGGCTCAGCCCCCAGGGCAGCTCTGCACCACCCACCTCAGGCTGCTCGGGTTGGGTCACCTTGGGTGCTTTGTGGTTTAGGAGCTCACATCAAAATCCATCCCAGGCCAGGCTGGACAGGGCCTGGGGCAGCCTGGGACAGTGGAAGGTGTCCCTGCTCATGGCAGGGGTGGAACTGGATGAGCTTTAAGGTCCCCTCCCAGCCCAAACCATTTCAGAATTGCATAAAACATTTCACAGAATGCTAGAATGCTTTGGGTTGGAAAGGACCTTAAAGACCAGCTCATCCCATTCACAAAACATAACACTTGACAAGAGAAAATAACACAAGACATAAAAAGTTTGCTCCCAAAAAGAAAAATCCAGTGGGCTACAAACCAAACCCCAAACCTGCCATATAAATTCCTGAATGGAGTAGGTGACAAATCCCCAAGGACCCCTGACCCCACAGTGCCTCAATCCCAGCCCTTTTACCCCCGTGCATGGCATCAATGCGAATCTTGAGCTGGTTCTTCCCTGAGAGCAGCTCCTTCAAGGCACTGAAGTCAAAGATGTTCCTCAGCATGCTGGCATAGGCTTCCACAGAGTCCACAATTTCCACTGGGAACGAGAAGCAGACAGGGATCAACCCTCACAGCCTGCAATTGTGACAGCCAAGCACTGCTGAGGGCTGAGGGCCCAGCCCAGAACAAAGCCCTTGAACATCCCAGAATAGGGACAGCAATAATGGGGCTAAATGAGCAATTTAATTACAGGCTCTCACAGCTAATCAGGTCACAAGTGGATCTACAAAATCAAACTCTGTTCCCATTTAAGATTCCCGGGACTTCTTTCAAGAGGGATCAGTCCCACTTCACTTAAATTTAAAAATATGTATATAAAATGTAAAATATGTATATAAATATGTATATAAAATCAGATCTTTAATTTCCACCAAAGTCAACGGGAAGTGTGAACTTCATCGTTCAAAAAGTTGCACCTTTGCAGCCAACATAAAAACAAAATACAGCATAAAAATCCCACTATAAAGAAATGGAGACTGAGAGAAATACCAACTTTTATCATCTTTTAACTTTGTTAATTACAAGCACCAGGAGATGGTAAAAAAATACTTGCAGTATTTTTAAGTATTTTTTAAATTTATTTTCATATTTTAGTGTTGACTGAGAAAAGTCACATGTGAAATGTAACAGCTTTCCCACTCACAGTGACAACTTTTATATGTGAAACCATGAAAAAAATCAGTTGAAAGATTAAAGTCTGCAATTTTTAATTAGGAAAATGCATTGTAACTGCATTTTTCTGTTTTCAAGTACATGTCTGCCTTGCAGAAAAAACAGCTTTTGATTTTAGGGAAGTTTGATGGATCAAGGTTTTGCTACTGAAGTAGAAAAACTTCTGTAGGACAGAAAATTATATCAATCAAAATCAATAAATAAATAAATGCCAGGAGGAATGTCCTCACATGATTATGCAACAGGTGAGAAGGAGAGGTCAGAATGGCCACAGAAACACCCCAGTTCCTCACCCTTGCCAAGAGGAAGAACATTTGTTTACCTGTAAATGGCTTAAATTTGTTCTCCAAGTCAAACTGCTGCTTCCCAATGGTGCCCAAGTCCACCTGCAGGTCTGGGCAGATTGCATATTCCTCGATTTTCTTGCTGATTTGGAAAATTTTATCTGTGATGGCTTCAGGAGCAGGACCTGCAAAATGAAATGGGCAAAGGGAAGATGTTAAAGAATCCACCTGCAAGAGGAGTGAATTTGAGGAATGCAGCAAGGACCTGGGCTGGGAATGGAGAGGAACACCAGGGAATGAGGGGAGCAGAGCATCACTGGCTCCATTGGGGAAAGCACTGCTCAGGGCACTGATTCCTGGGATGTGAACAGAAATGTGGATTCTCAGGTGGTGTGGGAAATGGATTTGTAGGGAATTCTCAAAGCCTGGCAGAAGGCTCACACAGTGTGCATCTATATGCAAACCTTGAGACAAGAAATGCCATGGAGATGGCAAAATGACAGAATTGCTGAGAGAGAAATTAAACTGGAAACAAATTTCAAAGGGTGGCCTTGCAAATAAGACTAGGTACTTTAGAGAAATTGAACT